GAACGGACCATACTGTATCTAAGGTTATAACGAAGAAGTGATGTGTTTTGTGGCCGCAGAAAAGCTGCAAAAGACGCTGAAATTTCTTGAACTTGTTTGGCTCTCCTCACGTGCAAGACTGATAGAAAATATGAATATTAACCTTTAAAATCTATTTGTAATTTAAATGAGTTTACGGACTTTGAAAGGCGCACCGAAAAGTACCGAATAGCTCTTCGGTCACTGTCGTTCAATTATAGAACAAACTGGGATGGCCAGATGATGGCTAATTTTGAACTTGATAAATTTCGAAGAGTGTAAATATCGTTGTAGAATGACTGCATAAAACTCCGATGGAATAAACAAAAAAAAATGGATAAATAAAGATGAAAATTCCTTCATTATCTAAGGAATTGCCTTATAAAACTGGCGTAAAATGTCCTGTTACTCCTATCAAACAAGCGAAAATCGGACTTTTTTTCTTTATGAAAGGGAAGTTGTAATAGTAATTCATCGCAGCCAGTGCGTATGAAAGAGGGCTGACGTTTGAAACGTCAGCTTAAAAAAAGTCTTTACGGCGGCCAATCTATATTATCAAATCAGTTGATAATACTAAGTTACCTTGCTGTACTACCCCAACGACGCAGCAACAGTTTCTTGGGAAAATTACTCCCTCGAGTCATATTTTTGGAATAGTAGCGCTATCGCCAAATAGCTGAGTTGACCATAGAATAATAATGAGTGAAAAGAAAATCGTTCAACTTATAGAGAATGAAATCATATGTCGAGAGGATATGTAAAAAGTTAAGAGCGGTGTCCTAAGTCGCCATATCATATCCAAACAACGAAGTAGACTTTACCGAGGGGGGCCTGGATAGAATGAAATATCGAAGGGATTTCTAGTCACGTAGACTTTCATTAGACTTGCAAGATTCTGGACAAGAGGGATTGCTGACATTTCGTTTCCGCAATTGAGTGTTAAAAGTACAGTTCTGGCTATCGGCTATATTAGGAGGGTGAATTCGTGAGATGCAACGAAATAGTTGGCAAGGGCGTGGATGTTATTGTGGCTTTACGCATGAAGACGACTAAATTCTGCGTCATTTACTAAACGTATTTGCTGAAATCGTTTTGGAGTAAAATAAGTCCGTCAAAGCTGAAAACAGCCATTATTACGGGAACCTCTCGAGAACTATCTTGTAGCAGGGTCAGATTGTTATTACGCAATTAAATGATATAGACTGAGTATGTAGGAGAAGAATGAACAAAAACGATATCATGATAAAAAGAAACGAGGGATATGCTAATCTTAAACTTAAAGCCTGCCGAGTGATTTTCTCTGAAAATGAAAGTACGAGATACGAGATGTAAGGTATCCAAAGAACAAAAAAGCAAACGCTGGACGAAGTCAACTCAAGCGAGCAAGTTGAATATCAAGGAAAGGAATGTATCGGAGTTTTTAAAGGTATCGGATAGGTGTTATCAAACTTTTGCAGGTGTTGTTATTGCCAGGCAACCCTACCCCGCGCACGCCACCTAACCCCATTCCAAGCCGTGTGAACAGTTTCTAGATCAAGAACCTTATTGCTTAACATTTGTCGAAGATGACAAATCAACCTGGACAAAAACGGATCGCTCTTTTTTTTCTTCGAAATGTTAACTACAGGTTTCAATAAAATTACCATGAAATCAGGACGAAATCTAGAATTTTATTGGTCTGGCCTAACCGTTCTGATCAATAAGAGAACCTGCTTACAAGGACCTGTCTACCCAACCGGTTGTGAGCTAAGCCAGGCACCCCAGGAAAACGAACTTTCGGTTTCAATTATCAGCAGGCGGAAGGATTAATCATTCATTCAAACATTAATTTATTAATTTTCTCTTCTCCAGGCACAAAATATGGATTCTTCTGTTTTGTTCCACAATAATTATTAGTCTTGTTCCGCCGTATTTACAGTCTTCTTATCTTCAGCAGACCTGTCTGTCCGACTCTAGCGCGCAAGAAACCTTAATTAATTCAACCACCGAGGCGCCACATGATACAACTGATCATCGGCTCACCACTGGAAACAGCAGATGTGACATGCGATACCAAGACTTTGGTAACACGTTAGTCGCATACCATTTTAAATTGAAAGGCCTCACACAACCTTCCATAAATATCTCGTCGAAGTACTCGCGAATTTTCCACGATCCTTCGCATTCTGTCAACAATATCCTTACGAAATTCAGCACTGATTCAGTGTTCAGTTTAAATTTGTTTTCCGTTTCCATTGGCGTTGAAGAAGTTATCCTCAAGCATTTCTTTTCAAATTGAGCTGACCCGATTCGTGGATCTTACGATAAAATAATCCAGTATCAGGCGAATGGATCAGCTCTCCTCCACAGGCTCTTCAGAGGCGCTTCTAAGCCATCGGAAGAACTCTGAACTGGCGGCTACGGCCACACCTTTACCTAGTTGTTCTTCGGAACTACTTTCCCAGGTGTTGAATGAATCTTCTGAGACGACTTCCTCGTCATATAATGTGTCAAAATAGGACTTGATGAAACCTGGAAACCAATAGAGAGAGGTCACCTTAGAATTCAATTGTTGTCCAGCACGTAGTTAACTACGTAATTTTATTCTGTTTTAAAAGAATTCCATCGAGAACCTTAAGGCCGTTGCCTTTTATTTGAAAGCGTTAAGATCTAGAGGCCCAGTTTTAGACACCTTCGGGAACGAGATCGAGGGGTCCAGTGTCTTTCGTTGTGATGTGTTTCTGGACAAGAAAACTTAAAACAGTACCAACGAAATGTCTAGGAAACTTGACGATATAATATAGACTACCTGTGATTAACAGCAGCCAGTCCAACAAGATTCACATGTTGTTGCTTAAACTGGGATAGGCTGAGCTAGTTGTAAGAACACTCGGTTCCTTACCATCAAACCCCACCCTCCTCTACCTCCCCTTTTCCCGCTCTAAATTGTGGAAAACAAGTTGATACCTGGCGGATGATCCAGCTGTACAAAGAGTGCCTGCACTGCAAACAGCGCCTGGAGTTCAAGATGCGTATTGATGTCAATGTACTTTTGAAGAAGACTTTTTCTGACCTTCATAAGGTTGACGTTGCATTTACATTGTCCTCCGTCTTCTGTTTGGCGGGTGATTAACAAAAGAGTTAGAGAGATACTCGAATAAGTTATACAAACATATCAAAATATGAAATATTTTATCCATTTCCATACAAATCAAAGACAATACAACTCTAAGCTGTGATGGACAAGGTGGAAAAAAATAACCACGAAAATAAAATCTATCTTTCTTTACTGAACTTTGCAACAGTCTGTCAGGAAATTTTCAAGTACACCTCTCTCAGTTACAAGAAACATGCATGTAGATAAAACTTGTTTAACGAGAAAATTTTAACCCACATAATTTTTTTACCTCTGAACGTTTACTTTTAACAATGCTTCAACTACAGTATTTTCAACAAAAGCATCACTCACAAGCACATCAATACAATACTAACAATCATTGCAATTGAACTCATTTATATCTGCATCCAATCCAAATACTACTACTGTGTTACCGTTTTCCATTGTATCCTCACAAACAGCTGTTACAAGAGCTCTAATGAAGGGTGCTTCCTTGGTTTCTGTTTCAGGAACATGTTCCTATTGTACAAAGAAATAGATTTCGTACATTGTTTCTGCATACAGAAATACACCTGAACCCCCAGGACCTTGCCGGGAAGAGAGGGGAGCCTTGTGTAGCAAACAGTTGGATCAGCATGATATGCAACTACAATAGACACAAACAGTAACCCAAAGTTCAGTACCTAATACTTACGTCAATCCACTCAAACACTTCTTCGTTTCTGGCCTTTCTCTTCAATATAAGATTCCTAAGTTCTTCTTGTATTTTTGCAGAATGTTGAGTGGCTGAGCCAACATTCTGTGATGAACTGACTTGACCGAGGGCAAATTCAATATTCTGCAGAAGAAAAAAAAATGAAGAGACGCCAAATTCAACATTGAGCGGAAATAAAAAGCGAATATTGAGAGAAAATTCACTATTCCACTGTAAAAAATCGAACAAGGAGATATTAAATTTATTTACATAATTTCTGTCCTCTGAGGG